GTTACGGCGAGGTCTTAAGCACAGTGTCATCGGACTGCAATATCGTCTACGCAACATGACGCCAGACATAGCAACAATGTGAAATACAACGACCTGCCTATTATAAATTCCTAATATTTAATTATCCAACATAAAATTATAACATCTAATCACTAAATTTAATTGAATTTCAAATAAAATATCAATATACCAAAATATCAAACTATTAAATATAACCATCAAATACTAAAATACCAATATGTCAAAATATTAAAGTTTCAAAACACCCAAAATAAGACCCCCAATTTCTCAAATTTCACGTTAGCTTCAGTGTGGATATCATTGGCTTTTATCCTCATATCAAACATCTATAAAAGGCCACAACGAATGTCATATACAATGGGCAAAACTGAGGATTCATCAGCACTTTTACTACGAAAGTTGAAATTATTGAGATTACTTGAAGCACCTATGTCTTTACTCTCTACATGAACCAAGTTTCGAGAATCATCAACTTATTCATTCTCCCATTGAAATTCTTCAATAATTAAGGGATTAAAATTGCTTCTTTTTTCCCACCGCTTTTGAAAGCTATGTACAATCTTGTGATTATATTAAACATACACTAAATCGTTTAGCCTTTGGTGCTCTAGTCTATTTCTTTTCTTCGTGTTAATCTTAAATTAAACTTTATATCAAAATTAGAAGATTATTGCTAAAATATTAATATAAGTAAAATTCGAACAAATTTATTTACAAATTTAAATGTACTCCAATTGTGTTCACAAACGAAAGAAAAGCAGTAAAGACTAATAGTCCGTATCGAAATTTCTCATTGTCACCACTATATGCATCCCACCAATCAACTAATATATATATATATATATACATAAAGAATATAATTAATATTTGAATTTAAGTTTCATAGAAAATGAAAAAGTACATATGTTAAAAAAACTTACGATGACTCTTTTGCGTTTGGTGCTTGATTGTCAATGGATGGCCAAAAGTTCATCGCATTTAATCAAAATTATCTATTTAACCACTAATCTTATCTATCAACTCTTCATCATTAAATATTTGTTTAGAATATAATTAAACATCTAGTGTTGCTTATGGACATGATCATTCTTTCTCAATTTAAAATATTTTGTAGGATTTAGGAACATGCAACCCCATATAATTTCACCTCTATCGATCCTCAATTATTTTAATCAACTTGACCAACAACCTAGTTTTGTTGTTGCTCGTGAAAGATTTAGTTATTTTCGCGTGATTCATAGCTGAAGAAAACTCGGGCATGAATGACTTTCCATCACCATCAAATATTCTCAAAATGATCAAAAGAGGAAGTATTGCTCGTATACAATCTTCTACCTTATCCCTATTTTTTTTTTCTCTTTTGACATTCTTATAACTTATTATCACTTCAATCATCACTCACAAATAACTACTTCAATTTATTCTTATGTTTGTTCATAATTTGCAAAGTGAGAAATACAATAGCAAATTGAGTAGTCGTCAGCTCACAAGATCTCTCTATCGATCATTTCTCCCATTGCATTCATAAGTCTCCCATATTGATAATAAAAGTGGTAACATCTCTAACCCTTTGAATGTAAAATTTAAATTCATTCATTTTCCTAATGTCCTCCATGTTAAGCAAAATCATTTGTATATATATAATTTTATTTGTGATGAATATTTGTTCTTGATTTGATTCTTTAATTACGGATCCTCTTAATGTAACCTTACATTATTTATATGGACAATAAAATCATAATTCATATGGTGATATAATCCCTCTCCCTCCCTCTTTTATGGTATCAACCTAACCACCAAATACTTTAATTTTTCTTTTATTCCATGGCTGCCTCATCTTCTGCCTCTTCTGATCCGCTACCTATTGCCACCATGATTCATATGGTGACAATCAAGCTTTCTTCCATTAACTATTTGATATGGAGACTTCAAATTACTTCCGTGCTTCATTTATTCGATGTGATGTGTTTTGTCGATGGATCTAAGAGGGCGTCTGTAATTATTGTGATTGACGCATTGGGAGCTTTTTCTTCCAACCCTGCCTACTCAATGTGGTCCACAACCGATCAAAAGCTTCTTGGTGTCATTTTCTCCACCCTCTCTAAAGAAGCAATGGCCGAAGTCGTTAACTGCACAACATCACGCGATGCTTGGTTTTCCCTCAAATCAGTCTTCTCTCATTTTTCTATATCCCGCACACATCAATTGCGTGAAGAACTCCTCAACATGAAATTGATGCAATGGTCAGCACAATGTGTCTAAAATACACTAGAAATCCATTTTTCTAATAGTTTTTCCGCCGCTTTATAATTTGCCCCATTATCAGTCAGAATTTGCACAATATGCTCCTTGCCTTCTTCAACTTTTTTCTCAAGCAGGTTAGCCAACATGTGAATCAGTTAATGCATCAATAGACTCCAAGAAAAAAGTTCCCTCTGGACTATTGACAAGAAAATTTATCAAATGTCATTCTCTTTTG